TATTAACCCTAACATCATCTCTTGCTGTTTATTTTTGTAAGACTGTCGACATAATGGGGCAAGATTTTCAGAAGTGACTAGTGGTTCTGGACCCTCTGCCCCAATTTGGGGTACTTTCATAGGACCCGAGTTTGAAAGGATGGGTACTCACACTTTCTGAAATATCAGGCCCCTTCAAGGCATCTCAAGTTGGGCACCCAAAGCCTCTGGCCACTTTTGACAATTGTGACTCACAAATGTAAAGTCTTGAAAGCGAGACTGTAGAAAACTTCACATGCGGTAAAGAAGGGAGCCTCACATTAGTTCAGACTTCTTCTCTTAGGGCTTGTCTAAGCAGGAAAGTTGTTCTTATTCTGCTATAGCCATGCTGATCAATTTCTCCAGGTAGACAAGTCCTTATGTTTGGTTTATGTCCCGCTCATCCACAGGGGGCTTTGAGGTTTGAATGCCTGAGAACCCTCCTTGGCAACACTTTCCACAGGAGGTGAACTCCTATACGCAGCTCCTGGAGCAGAAAGTGATAAGCTGTTGGCCCTTGTAAAATTGTATGTTAAATAAAAGAATTGGTGGCAAAACTGTGTGCTTCAGCTATGGCTCAATAATGCCCCCTATACTCTATAATGGCTTTGCCAGCCAGGTTTAAACAAAAAAGCCAATGTTTCAATATAGGTTACATTGCACTCCAGCCAAGCTAGTGTCTAATGTGGTTCGAGCATGTGGACAGGCCAAAGCCATGTTAGAAGAGCACTCAGAAAAGCATTCTGGTTTCCGTGACCATTAGTACGATAATGTTTACTATGCTGGGGTGCTATGTTATTACAGTACAATTGTGCCTGAGCATCGGGTCTCGCCTGCATGCATGGGACTGCATCATATTACAACTATGTTACGCAACCCAACCGCAACTCTAGCTCTTTCCACCCATGGAGGAACAAGCTGTGTTAGGACAGAGTCGTGATGTTATCATATTATCACACAGTGCCTTGGTACACTGTCTTTTGCAATGTAGATGCTCTGTAAGCCTGTCAGCCTTTTTTCATTTGAGGCCCCCTAAAAAACTGCAAATGGAGGGACCCCTTTAGAAATCTTAGACATAGCCTGCGGACCCCCAAGGGGTCTGAGATCTACAGGTTGAAAACCACTGTTCTAAGACAAGTTACTAACACATTCCTAAATACATGGCACTTCCCAGGCGTGCCTGAGAAAATCTCTAAGGAAGAGCTAATTTAGCTTCTTATCAAATGAATTATCTTGGCCTGTTCACCTCCCTTCCCCACCCCACCCCTCTTGATTAGGTCAGGCATCTCTTCCCACTTTGCATCAGGTGTGACAGGTGCATCTTAGAAGAAATTCCGAGCTTGAAAAACAAGTTTTAAAACCCAGCAGCCATTAGGATGCAAAAAGCATTTTCAAGCAGTGCATACTCTTCCCTGCCAGGACCCCAATATTAAAGGCAATCACTACAAAGGTTTTGCACTCAGCAGTTTCAAAGCCAATACTATACCTGGGCATTTCGTGTGTAGCATTCTGCTAAACAGAAAGGAAGCGAGAGAACCTCTCACTGCTGTTGATTCCTGCTATCACCTTTTACAGTTGCCATTGAACTCACAGCTCAGGATAAAAGATCTATGAAGGCTTTAGACTATTTTCATCCACCACCGCCCCACCCCTCACCAGCATAAGCCATTATTTACTAGCTCCCTTCCTCAATCACCTCCTCCTTCTCAATAGGTTTCAGTTTCCAATGGCTGTTCAAATACAATAGTGATAGGTGCCCTAGGAGTGGAAGTGATCAATCAAAGGCACCGAGAGCCAGAATACAACTGCCTTTTTCCAAGTTTCATTCAGGATCTTTAGTTCATTACACATCTGCTACTTTATCACATGCACCTTAGCACAGCCCACTCACCACCTTTGGAGCCAGACTTCAATGGTGCTACCCAGCTTTACAGCAACTGAGGATCTGACTCAAACAGCCTTCTAAAAAACCCAGCGGGTGCCCCCTATAACCATTCCGTATGTGTATACTAGTCTGTTGATGGGGGGGGGGGAAATGAGGTGGAACATCGCTCCTTCCCACTCATACTAAGAGAAGCTTCTTCAGTTTGCGGGGAAGAATACGTTCAGTCTCCCAGGGGTTGGTTGGTTGGTTGGTTGGTTTTTTAAATCTAGGACTCTCCAATTTACCGAGAGGTAGTTTGGCAATAAGGGAGATGGATGACTAAGAAGTCTCACCCTAATGCCTATTGTATTTTATCATCAGTAGCTGTGTGGGGTGTCCAAAGGGAGATTATAAACTCTCTCAAGGCAGGCACCAAGCATTATTTGCCTGCAGTGTACCTAGCACCCTTTGTTGGGTGCTGTGTAAATAAACATTAAGGGCCATATTTTCTAGCGTGCTCAGCACCTAGCGGCTCCCTTTGCTGAGTGCTTTTGAAAAAGCTGGCTACTTCTGTACATACCTACAGCCTTGTGCAGGCTAGGATTTAAAAGGCATGCTGTTAGAGATGACTAGAGGTAGTTAGCAGGCTAACAAAGACAAAGCAATCTAAGGGCACATCTTCACTAGCAACGTTAGTGGCTTGTGTAGTGGCAGCATAGCAAAAAAACCCACACCTCCATGAGGGGTGTAACTCCCAGCGCTGGTGCATGGTCTACACTGGCACTTTACAGCGCTGAAACTTGCAGCGCTCGGGGGGTGGGGAGTGTTTTTTCACACCCCTGAGCGAGAAAGTTGCAGCGCTGTAAAGTGTCAGTGTAGACAAGCCCATCAGATATGATAAGTGCAGCAAGTTAAAGCCTAGCAGCATTCAGTGTTGGCATCTTGGAACAAATCTGGTGGAGAGTTCAGACTACACTTTACAAACATTAACCACCTTGAGTTAACTCCAGGTCAAAATTCATGTGTAGACTGAAGCCAGGTGTACACTAGACAGTTTTACCAATATAGGTTACATCTGTAGGGGTGTGAAAAAATAATCACACCCCCAACCAGCATAACCATGCCAGCAAAAGCCTTAGTGTAGATGCAGTTACACTGGGGAAAAAAAAATCTGATCTATTACTTGTATTGACCTAGTACCTGTACTAACACAGCACACAAAAAAACAGTCCCTGCTCCGAAGGCTTTCAGGCTAGGTTTGCCAGTACAGCCTATTTTATTCAGGGAACTGGTATAACCCATACCAGCAAAAGAACTCCTTTGCTGGTATAAGCTACATGTGCACTAGAAGGGCTACAGCTGTAACAGCAAACCCTTTCTGGTGTTGACAAGGCCAAGGTTTTAAGTGGGAGCTACTGGGTACTGAGTTTATGGGCAGGGTTTGGTTTAATGTGTAGACAGCCATGCCCCCAAGGCTTTTGCCTTATATGAAAGTAATTAAGGCTAAAATAAGTCAATTGACACAATCTCATTGCCGCAGTGACCTCACCTGTTATTCAGCTGCAAAAGTGTATCAGACGGCCAATCCAAATCTTTAGCCTTCTGAACTTAAGACCTCACTGGTTTTATACGCTTAACAAAGCCTCATTCAGTCATCATTCCATCTACGTGCCCAAAACCTCTTCGCTGGTGACAACTTTGCAGTGCGTTTCTGATTGTAAGCTCTTTCGGACGGGGAACATCTTATTTTTGTCCTGTATGTTCACGCCCCCTAGGACAATGGGGCCGAGATCCCACTTAGGGCCTTTAGGCCCTACTGCAATACAAATAATAAACATGCATCATCATCTGCACCCAGCAAATCCAAATGTCCTTAAACAGAAGGCAGGTCTGCAGCACCTCCTTCCTTGCAACAAAAACCACAGATTACAGCCCTGCATCTCCCATAATGTAGGCTGAAACACTGACGTCAGCTTTTAAGTACTGACCAAGCACTTATTTTTTTAAGGGATTTATTAACCAATAAGCAAAAAAAGCCCCAAGAATCTTTCATCTAAACTCTTCGGAACATTTCAGCTCTCAGTGCTGAATCACTGCACAAACACCACCATGGTTGCAGGCTGATGCTCCATCCGTGCTCACGCGGGGGAATCATTTTAAGTAGCAAGCTTAACTCCTTGCTCGCTAGCAGCTCCCTTCGAGCAATGGCAGGGAAGCACTGCGAAACCCTCCCGCTGCACACACGCCCGTTTTCTGGGGTTCCTTGAAACACCAAGGACATAAGGCGACACACCATTGGGAAACCACAGGGCTGTTAACACCAGCAGCCGCCCAAACGTTGAGCCTGAGCCCAGGACGGAGAATACTGGTAAGACACTGCCTGCAAAGCCAAGCCACATTGGAGCCCGGCTATTTCCCCGATCTTCTGTAAAACCCCACGGCATTAGAATAGCAAACCGCAAACATATGTTCCCCCACGCTGCAGCCGCAACCGCCCCCGCCTCCCGTACACATACATACACACACACGCTTTTAGCTCACGCGGGAGGATCATGTCATTTTATTTGCACCCAGCATGATCAGGATTTTGTTTGAACTCCTATCTAAATAAGCATGCAGTTCCCTGTCAGCAGCTCCCTGTATGATATCACCCAGCACGGGATTTGGTTTTTATTTTTTTTTGTTTTGGGTACGCACGCAAGGTGAGTTTCCAGTCCGTTTTGCAAAATAACAAATGTTTTTTAAAACGTCTATCGGCTCTGGGTAATAAACACAACACACTCACAATTACATCTCCCCAACCATTCCCTCCAACGCATGCCTTGCAATCACCGATTCATGCACCACTTACCGCATCTTCCTGATCCTACCCCCGCATGTAAATACAAACGCACAGCATATCTGTGTGTGTGTGTTGCATTATATATAATTGGTGTCAAGATCAGGAAGATGCAGTACGCATCGATATAAAAAAATACACCTCTACATCAGAATTTTCTCCCCAGCTCCAACCCCCTATGATCTATTGCAGAAATCTGCAGGGTCACTCAAATACAAAGCATGATTAGAAACCCTAGGCCACCCCCTCTTCTTCCCTTACAACATTATAAACACTTACCCTCCCGTATTTCCTCTGCAGCCGGGGGAATCAGAGCTCCTGAGGTTCTCCAGCTGATTGCAAATTTCTGCACATTCGTCAGGATAATTAAACGCAATTACAGAATGATCAAATGAGAAGCCCTGCAAGGCTGGTGCCAGTGCTGATGATGCAAGTTCTAGCCCCTTGCAACCACATACAGGCACCCACACTGAAATGTAGTCATAATACTAGCCCAGTAAGTGAGGGGCAGGCATGTCCCTGCACAGAGGGGATGGTGGGGGTGGATGGCACAGATAAGCATTAACAGGGCTGAAGGGATCCAGGAAGACAGAAGGTTGCACTTTAGAACTAAAAATGAACTGAGGATGAGGTCATGCCTTGAAAAAAAAGCACCTGACGTCATCCCCAGCCAATCAGAGAGCGAGGCTCAGGGGCAGGGTGACGTCAGCCTCTGATCCTGGAGCTTTGGGTGCAGATTAAAGGGAGACAGGCAGGCAGAGCTGCAGTTTAAAAGGGGTAATGGTCTAGTTTCCTCCCCCCTTTTTATTTATTCCCTCCCAGCCTGTAAGCTCTTAAAAGGGAAATGCACTGTCTTACCATCTACTGAAGAAGATGGGAGAGCGGTGCAGGGAGTTCTAGGCAGCGGTGTAAAGCAAGCCACTCATGCTAAATCAAGTTGGCATTTATTGTTAGAAGGGAAGGGTGTGCAGGCTTGTGTCATCAGCACACAGATATGCCCTGCTGTTCACAAAGAGGAACTGGGAAACATTTTCCAATGCCAAAGGGAGGGGAGAATATTATTGACTAAACCTTCCATGCATCAGCCTTACGTTTTCAAATCAGATTTCATTTTGGAACGATGCATCTAGTGTCCTCCTATAGGATTTTACCCTAAAAAAAAAATCCCACCACCCTGGAGCCTTCCTCTTTGCATGCAGGGAGTGACCCAAAGCTGCCTGCTCAGTTTATGGTGCTCTGGGAGGAAAGAAAAAGTATAGCTAAATGATAAGCCCTTAAAATAGCAAAGGAAAGGGGAGCAAGGAGCCCCCCAAGTCCCTGCTTTGTGGGTGGAATGTAATTTAGAAGCTGAGATTATCCATCTCTTTCTGTACAGGAATTCCAGGCTTCCGCCTCCTGGAGTTCCCCTAAAACAAAGGCCTGATCGATTGTTGTTGGGTTTTTTTTCTTTTTTTAAGGTTCCTTTACAATCTTCTTTATTTCCCGTAGGGCAGGGTTGTTTTTCTCCTTGGCATTTATTTTATTGCCCACTAAACAGATCAGCCACACGCAGTAGGGAGCTATAAGGTTTCATTCTTTTGGTGGTGCTGCTATAACACTAGCGTGTCTGTTGGATCGCTCACTATGGGATGGGGACTCCCTTCAGCTCAGGTACCCTACTCTCCGACCCACCATGGTTCAGCCTTGGGAACACTGGGCAGTGTTAAAAAGACAAGAGGACAATTTGGTGTTTGCTTCCCCACCCCCCCAACTCCCCTTCTTTACAGCACTTCTGTCCCCCTCAGCTCAGAGGCTTTCCCTACATCAAGCATCATGCTGGCTGAGCAGAGGGTGGTATTTCCATCTCACCCTAAACACAGGATCGTAAGGTGACCAGACAGCAAGTGTGAGAAATCGGGATAGGGTGGGAGGTAATAGGAGTCTATGTAGGAAAAAAACCCAAAATCGGGACTGTCCCTATAAAATCGGGACTTCTGGTCACCCTACAGGATAGCTCCGATCACTCCCCCATCTGCAGCTGTAGGAAATTTCCTTCATCTTCCTCCCATGCTGCTCCAAATGCACAGGAGAGACTCTCTGCAAAGCCACTATGTTGCCTTCTTTAAATCTCTCCTGTACTGCATGCCTAAAACACACACTGCAGTGGCTGGGCAGCTGAGGTGCTGTGACCACATTATGATTAGTGTAATGTCTCATCTACCTTCTACTCCCCCTATTTATTTTATCCACTTGCTATTTGGGGGCAGGGATTGTTTTTTTCCTCATATATGTGCAATAGTGCCTAGACAATGAGGCTTTGTTCCCTAATTGTAGGGTTACCATATTTTGTGCCTCCAAATGGAGGACACTCCACGGGGCTCCGCCCCCGCCCCCAGCCCCGCCCACGCCCCCGCCCAACTCCGCCCCCTCCCCAAAGTCTCCGCCCCCTCCCC